GTTTAAATACGGTAGCACCTATACATTCACAGCGGCATTAATACTCCAACCAGTTCTCCGCCTCGGTGATTGTTACTCGCCATGGGGGTTGGTCAATCGGGAAATTGCCTTACCTTTCGTTGCGATGATGACGCCTTGCGAACCGGCCGCTCGAAAACACACGAAACGTTTCCCAATACAATACTGCATAACGAACGAACTTTAATAAAGACATACATGATTACACCGGTTATGAAGAAGGCTGCGTATATCAATCGAGAATTTACGGTAATACAAGATTACACAATTTTTCACTAATAGATCGTTCTCATTGAACGTACAAAATAGTGAATTTTAAGGTCGAAAGATCAATGAACTGTTTTTTTCTTCAGGCAAACCTGCGCTCTGATTAAATAGAGCCATGTTGTCGGACGCATGCCACAATGTGGCAATAAGAGAGTAAAACGCTTATGCTAGTCACATCTTACACCGTCTCAATACACCGTCTCAATCTAAAAGGCATCGCGTCTTTTTTCAATAGATTGCCATTTTCTGTTCCAGTGAAGACGACAATACGACAGTCAAGACGACAATAAGTCAACTCTATGTCATTTAAAACTACCTGTAGTTTCTAGAAATTGGCACATAGTTTTCAAGATGATATACTAGTAATATAAAACATGCCAGAACTCGCCGTAAATGTGCAATGTTCTGGAACAACTTCGTAAAGTGTTTCTCAGCTAACTTGTTGAGGATAAAACGTAATTGAAACGGAGTACAAAATAACTTCAAAATCTACATAATAAAAGGCAATTGTCTAAAAATATAGCTATTTGTCTAACTCTAACAACTAGATGTAAGGAACACCTACTACATTTGGTATACAAGTCTGCAATGTGTGTCAAATGCTTCATCGACCTGTAGATGAGTATGAAAGTTTTACACTAAAGCGCTCTGCCCTTTTTTCCACTGTTAAACAAAATACTATATATAGATATATATATACAGCATTGGCCTTTGGACTATCTAGTGTCCTGACGGGGCACCTCTGCGGGCGATGACAACAGGTATAACCTTGTCCAGATGGCCGATGTAGCGCTGGCATTTTTCTGGGGTCATCCGCTCAACCCAGAAGCGGGCGATTCCTTCCGTCAAGGTCTCAAGGTTCCGGAAAATCCATTGTTGTATCCAATATGTCGTCAACTCGTAATAATTTTTTTTGAATAAAGTTTCGACATTCTGAGATCGTCAGTGCGTTGTTTGTCTTTGTGTAATACCAATACGGTGCTCGTTTCTAATACCCCCCCCCCATCTCATCGGGACGATAGAGTCATTCCGGACTATCGTATAATTAAGAGTTTTAAGACTAAAATGGCGCCCCTAAAAATGGTGACTGAATATTCGTATTAAATTTCAAAATGCCGTGGTGATTTTTGGGATGTTTTTTGGAAGTTCGAAGTCCAGGAGACGAAACTTAATGGCTTTAAAATGTGCAGTGAGATGACCCCTGTAACGAAAGAAAACACGATGTCAGCTTCAACACATCTCCATAATATAATTATACTAGTATGAAACGTTGCTACTTGTGAGAAATACCGAGGTGTCCGTCGCCTTCAAACATACATGGAGATTGCGACAGTAGCTAACCGTTGAAAACAGCAAGTTGTACCACACTTGGTTGAACCAAGGACATTATACAGAACCTACCTGTCTCGTATTTGTTGAACAGTTCAAGCTGTTGACAAACTTGCGCTGTTCGTGGGCGTTTCTATAGTCGAGCACACCGGCAGGAATTCATCGTAGAACTACAAATGTAGCGTCTTTAATATATCAGTTCCCACGTACTTTTTTCCCCCAAGAGGGATCGAGGGTTTACCACGCCCACCGAGGAAACTGAACGCACATTAAAGGGAAGCCGCTGGCGTGGCGCCATGGCGCGCCAAACCACAACATAACAAACAAAGCACAATGGCTCGTGTTCGGTTCACGTAAATTGGCCATTGTTTAAATATAAATTTCGTGTGCTGACGCCTATCTCCTGAAATACAGCGACGTATTTTTTCATGTCCGCGCTAGCCGCCATTCCAGATCAGAGATTCTCATTAATATGCAAGCAGCTACGCTCTGATTGGTTCACCTTAGATGACCTGCGCTCTGATTGGCTAGAACGAAGCCGAGTGCATGCTGGGGCGCCCTTCCACGCGCGAAGTGCAGAGAGCTTGATCTCGAGATTGCCATATTTACGCTGGTTTCTACCTTATTTCTACGACTAATCAGCAACATCCTGGTGAC